AGGGGCAGCGTATTACGCAGGAAATTCAAGAAAGCAGGGAGTACGAAGGGAACAGACATGTGAATGGTCCTCTAAAGCTGCAGCGCGGAATCTCACCACTCACTAGGATTGGTGGGTATGCTTACACAGCAAAGGACGCTGCCAACGCCTTATGAGCCAAGTACTTGCCTACTTTCCGAGGAATAAAAGCCTCGAAGGCTCTACTTGCTTCTGTCACCACACTATCAGTAAAAGCAACCATCACATGCAGAGCAGAAACGGTATTGAGAAAGCTACCATTTTTGCGTAGACACAGCTCTCCTGGAGTGGATAAACTTTGTATTAAAGCACGGCAAATAAGAGTCAATCAATTGGCCCAATCACTTAACGGAATTTTCCTTGTTGTTTTGACGTAAACATAGCACCGTCAACATGTAGATGTAATACCCCTATTCACAAGGGAAGAAGTCCATCTGACTCGGACAATTACCGTCCGGTAATCTTCTCCTTTTGCTTATCAAAGTCATGGAAGCGATAATCACTTACGTACTGATGGGTTACCTGGAAACTACGGCATTTTTGAGCCGGAGTAGCATGAGTATCATCAACATTGATCATGTTTCATGAACCTGCTGACAGTATGTGACAACTGGACGGAAACAATCAATGACGGGAGACGAACCGATGTTAGTTACATGGAGTTTATCGAGAGCTTTCGATCACTAAGATCATCGAATTTTCCTGCGCAAACTGCGGCTATATCGAATCAAAGATCCACTGTTAGGATTGATTGGTAACTTTCTCTACAAACGGCAATTGGAGTTTAGATGTACAACCTCATTATCCAATCCCATACGGGTGGTGCAGTGTACAGCAGGTTTCAAAACTTGGGTCACGATAATTGTTAGTAGCCATCAAAGGTCTAGTGAGATCTATCGCGTAAAATTTGTACTTTACGCAGCTAAGGTTAACATTTGGCAATCGATCAAGTAACTGGACGACCACGAGATCCTCCAGCGCGAGCTAGACGAGGCATGGTATTGCTCGACGAGAGATACACTACAACGCAATGTGGATAACTACCACGGTTTTCCACCTCTGCCATAGATAACTTTATCGATGTGCGTTGGGTACTGAACTGCTTGAGTCAATTTTGCAAGGAACCAGCCGACACTAGTGGTACCCATCCGGAAGGTGAGTCATCGAGCTATAAACAAATAAATAAATAAATAGATAAACGGTCCAAATCGCGACATGTGAGACACAGGCAAAACACCAGCCTGATCAAGTGGTACAACGCACTCGGATAGTGGAGGAATAATTCAAGATCTATAATGTGCTCACTAAAGTGTTTGAAGGGCTCATGCATGCAAAATAGTAAAGTATTGAAAGTTTGGAGTGTGAATAAAAGTGGTTATATCCGTCAGTTCAAGTAAAATTCATAGAATTGTCTCCCAGATACCTGCTTACAAACATTAGTTACACATCTCATCTGACCCTGCGCTCTCGTGGCTTAATGCAAGTAGCCAATGTGCTTCTTGACTCGCTATTTTGGCTGTTGTCATATGCAAAATTGTCATCACCATTTTGACACATTATACATAAATATATATATTTTCATTTGTGGGAATGTGTAATATGTTAAGCTCTAACTATCATACAGCCAGCATTTAGCCAATTCGGGTCTAGCAATTTTACTATTCGTCAGTGAGTTGGTGACAACTTGCATTTCATGAATGCACTGCAATTTTTGGAAGCGTCTATCCATCACCTCGGGAGATCGGCCCAGTCGTGGCCAAAAGTAGTGGGAGAGAACTAAACAAAAAGAAAAGGGATGAAGGAACAGTAATGTGAATAGGATGGGCTTTTGTCCAAAATTCTCCAATAATGATTGTGCAAATTATCACCGGAGACATAAGCCCTTTCGAAATGTACATGTTTTCAAAAAGAATTTCCTGAGGAAATAATTGAGATGGCTCCAATAGTTGTAGAAGATAAAATTTGGGAGATGGTTGATGTGAAATCAATTTATATGGTCCTCTGACATATTTTAGTTACGCAAGATATTTTCTCCAAGAAGCGGCAGAAATCGGTATGCAGTGTAAAGCAAGTTTACTCTCGTCCAGACAGCTTAGCTGCGTTTCATTAAGAGGAGATTGATTTTAAAAGAGGTAAGCGATCAGAGTGGTCGCAAACATACATGATCCTAGTAGGTTTTCAGATAGTACCCTCAGATGAATCCAGTCAAAAACGGGTATAATATCTATGTGGTTTTCGCGGAGCACAGAGAACTGCAGCTCGTGCCTTAGAGGTGGGCGCAAGGAAAAGGCAGAAAATGATTAGTACTGTAGAATGAATGTGAAACACTTCACTAGAGAGGAATTTAGGATATATTTTCGCTTTTATAACCGTAAACTTCATGGTAATCAGGATAATCTTTCTTTAGAAAACAGCTTTTAGCTGCTGATAGACATGGAAAGGGTAGTAAGGTATGGAAACAACAGAAAGTATAATACTCTGGTTTTGAGGATATATCCATCTTGCACCAATTTCGTGCGGGACTCATTTGTCATGGTAGGGCGCAGTATATCAATAGCTTGTTCTGCGTTTAGAAATGAAAGTATAGCTCGTGGGAACTTTATCCCTGACTGGATTTCACGAACCTCAGATGGAAGTCTGTCCCATAGTATGGAGTATGAGTTATTGAAAATGGTTGTCGTACAGTTTGTTCGTGATGTGTTCACTTTTCCTTTGTTGTTGGTATTATTTGGTGTGCGATATGTTGACATTGCTGCTCGTTGTACTGCTGGGTGTGGAGTGTATTTGTGGAAAAATTGGATGAAAGAAGATGGAAAGGTTAATTTGCATTCTTCGCAGCCACAGTGGATCACGTTTTAAGACAATGCAACTATCCCTATGAGAAAGGGTGGTGGAATAGCCGAGTAGACTCTTAATAACTGCTTGTTGTGCACGTTCAATGTGTAGCAGTCTGAATATACCCCCGTTTGGCTGTGTAAAATTCTAACTAAAATTATTTCATTGTACACTAGGCAACCGGTGTGGTTTGTTGAACTGATTGCTGAGTTCGAATGCTTGCTTCGCACATCGCCATTTTCGCTTGGCGCTCGTTTCGGTTGCAACGCGCGACTGCCCTGTGTGCTGTGAATCATCCGTTCCCCTAGCTAGAGTATCAACGGTGTCTTATTTATTATAGCTATGTAATAGGGAATCTTTTACTGTACCAATAAAGTTTACCTACAGCTCGATCTGTCTTTTGAATCCCTCTCCTTGAGCTCCCGGTACAGGCTACTTGCTAAAAATGCCATGCGATCACGCACTCTAGTTACAGTAGCTAATTAGGCTATACTCAAGTAATGGACATGCTTCTAGTTTACACAGTGTTAATTGATTCATTCAAGTAGAAGGTTTTGTACAGAAACCTAATGCTCCGAGTGGCTTGAGCTGCAGTATGTACAGCGTGTTTGGCGAAGGTAAGGGTGTTGAGGTAGTGGATCAAAAGCTTACTAAGAGTGTGGCAGTGAGACCATGGTTTCTCATCAAGGTTAAGCGAACCCAATATGTTATCACATTTGTAGGATAGTACGTGACATTTGTCAGCAAAGAATGACATCAACAGTTGGAGGCTCCATGAGTCGAGCACCCTTAAATCATGTTGGATTTCGCCTAGCTTTACACTAACCTCAGTTGGACTAAACGTGTAAACGATTTTTATGTCATCGGCAAATAGGAAAGGTATGCTGAAGGAAAAGATGTTAAAAATATTGTTTCCATTCAGTAGGAATAAAAAACCTCCGAGAATTATACCCTGCATCATGACACTGGTGACAGGATTTGGCTTTGCATATAGCGGAGTTGGTGAAATGGGCTAAAAGTTGAATTTGCAATCATCAGCTTACTCGGAAACGAGATACTGTGTTATCACAATCTGGTGCGACCTCTGGTGGAATTGTGACAGCGGATATAACGAAATAGATGCTGTTCTCGTCCAGGATAGTAAGCGCGGTTCACCGTTGCATGGTATCGCCATGCACAAATGCATTAGTGATTGTCCACAGTAGTCTAGATGACGCAGCGTTCCAAAGTAGCAGAGAAATATTATCATGTGCACAGACTGCAAACCGATGCTGTCCGTTGGAGGCGAGACAGTACACAAGGGGTCACGGCGCCCATGGCCAACGCAGATCAGGATTCTAAAGTCCAGTGAACATTGTGATCACCTGCACACGCGGGTCAAGAGCCTATACGGGGAGACTGATCCCAAGACAGTTTCTATGGAAAGTAACTTGGCCTGTCTAAATATGAGGTTCCAGTGAATAACCGTTAACCATAACGTATTCCTACTTGCACCAGAGTGGTTAGTACGGTCAGCAGAGTCGCCACCGACCCCACAGTAACAACGGTGGAAGATCGCCTGAGGCAGCTGTCTCGTACGGCCGCAATTGTTAGCAACCTAGGCTTCAAAGAGTAGGACTCTAGAACGCAGCAAAAGCCGCCTCCGAACACACAGCATCCAGTTTGACAGTAACCGAACAGTTAAGCCTCAGACACAACGAAGTAGAACAATGGCACAAAGAAGCAGTATAATCGTCAGAAATTTCAGGATAAGTGCCCACATTTCACCGACCGCTAACAATGTGGGTGAGTGATATCGTCCGCGAATACTGAGGAATACACATCATTGGGAATGAGAAAATAATACACACACAATGAATCAGAGTGCGAAATCAATCGCTATGAGTACTTGGAATGTATATGATGATATGCCAATTCAGCGGCCCTTCGACCGAGGGCTTCTGCTTTAGAAAGCATTAACAATTCCGGTGATGTCTGACAAAACCCTGACTGACGTAGTTTGGCAGCAGCTGTCTCAGCTGTTTTGGTGGATGAGGGGGAGTGACTTTCGGAAGGCGGTTGTACGGGCTGAGCAATTTACGTTCGACATGAGTCACATATCTGGGCTTCTCCAGTCTCCTAATTTCGGCCGCTTTCGGTGACACCGGCTAGGCGAATTCTTCTTCACTGTCGGAGAATAGATCTCGGAGAGATTTGGTCACATTCGTTTCGTCAGAAGCGGACTGTTTTATAGCGCGAATTCTGGGACTGGAGCGCGTGGGTATCTCCGTGAAACCAAGACGCTTTGCACCGGGAGGCAGTCTCGCTGGCGTTCTAGGAGTTGAGAGAGCATCAGATAACAAGACATTGGGTTGTGATAAGGTTCGTTCCACACCTCCGGAATCGCCAGCGGCACTAAAATAGAAGGCAACAAATAATTAATAAATCAAACGACACGGATGTGGGTTGGTGTTGGCTGGGGTCGATATGTTGCAAAATACTAACTCTTCCAGCACGATATTAATGACATGAAAACGTGTTAAATCTCCTTACCCTCGAGAAGAGTTCTTGGCGATCGATCGAACTGAAGGTGACGGCGCTGCCGGAACAGCACGTGAGAGTAGAGCTTCTTCCCACTTGCGTCCATGCGAAGTCCCAGGTGGTCACCTACGTTGACGTTTTGATGTTTCATTGTGCCCATGGCATTGCTAATGGGCCGTGCGGTTTTAGGCTGCTGAGCAGGTTGCCGCGACTATAAACAAGACTGTAGGAAAGCAGTAACCGTTTAGGAATAAGACAGAAATACAATGCACCCAAAGGACCAGACAAAAATGGGTTCGTTATTCTGTAATTGGTTATTTCGTAGACTGAGATTGTCATGAAACAGCAGACCCAGTAGCAAATAAGCTTGATGAGCAGCGCGATGAAAACGTAGTACTTGATAGTAAATAACTCAGTTAAAACGAAAGGAAATCACTATCAGCTTGACCAAAAATTAGATCAGCAAATTATGCTATTCTCGATGGTCATTGGGACAGCTTAGAGAGTAAGTTCGTATACAGAATCGTGAGATAAAGAACATTAAACTGCTTGCAAGAATTTGATGGCTGTTAAACGACGCAGAACAATAGGTGTACCGAAGAGAATGAAAATGGATAGGCTATCACTAACTGGCAGCAGATGTGCGACGGCACCAAATTAGTAGAAAGTAACATCCCAGACAGTTTGAATGCTGTATGGTGACGATGACAACTCACATCACTGACTGGGAGAAAGCATAAGACTGCGCCTCTGGAGTTGGTAAACAGTTTTTCGACAGTTATATGTTATTTGCGGAGTAACTGCTTTCAATATAAGAGCTTAGAGCCGTTGGTAGACATTCATATTTATAAAACAGAAGGGTGAGAATGTCGAAAATTTGCCCAAGGTTCAATTAGAAGTATGACTAACGGGTGCCGTCGCGTAAGTACCAAGCACCGAAAGATTAGTCCGAAACTGAGGCTCAGGGGAAATCTACGTGAGAGATAAATGCTGAGAAAGACAGACAGGTGATGTATTCTCGAAAAGAACAGTTTGAAGAGCAGTGTAATGTCGCATTTTTTCCAGATGCATCTGAACTTACCCATGATACTAACTTCCAGCTTGCAATTCTGTTGAAGGGAACTGGTGCAAAAGGGAACTTAAAGTGGGAAAATTTGACCGGACCAATAACATTCTTCCACTGTTTCTGTCAGCGTATGGTGACAGACTGGCTGCTGAGCTAGCAGGTTTGTTCAAAACTACCCTAGGGATGAAGTTTTTCAAGCAGTGTGTCCTCAGCGCTCCATAAAGTGAAGAATGTCGGGTTAGAACCAGTGATTCTGTCGCGTTCAAACTTTCCATGACAGTATACTCAAGCAACTCAGGGGTTCCAGAGAAGTAGAGTTAGTGAAAAGTAATCCAGTTCCACACAGGAAAAGAACACGCTAAACATATACTTACACTGCATTGTTCTTAAAAGCAGAGTATTCCACATTATTGAACTGCTATAGTTGGTTTGCTTGATTTGGACGCCTCTTTCGACTCAGGTGAAGGCGCCAAAACGTGGTGTCGTCGATTTCAGAACGTGGACAAAGAGAAAGCTATTTTTACCCTGAAATCTCATCTTCGTGATTGTCGGAAACGTGTGAAATGTTTACGGGAATAGTATGAGTTCAACACAACAAATGGCGTGCTTCGGATACAAACTAGGTGACCAGATTGGCTATAAACGTCAACCTTACTCGACAAGCAAAGAAACGACAGTGAAGACTGCAATATGTGAAAAGAGGCATACTCAAGCAGTGATGCAAACAAAGACACCCTGGAATCACAACACAGCTTGGTTCTTATCACCACAAATCCGTTGTCTATCTACCTTCGAGTAAATAATGATAGGAAGCGCCAGACTTGGCTGTTCGTTCTACCATTCTCGAACATCTGCCTACTCAGAACACAATAATTTTGTAGATTAAAGTGGGCACTCCGGAGTAGCTAATAAACCACCAATCTAGAAAGGCAAAACACGGCCGTTTTCTCCCAACGGATCCATCAGGAACCGCTAATGCCACCTAGACGCGGTGGCAGATCATCATGGCTCGCAAGCAACGTGTCGCAAAATGCAACTTGTCCTTCGCCATGATAAAGGTTGGAGGGTTGCAGATGAGATTGCTGGGTCCCATGAAGTCACGAGTTCTCACAGCGGCAGCTACGTATGGATAACCGTTGTTTAATAGAAGATCCGGCGGGCACGATTCCAAATTCTCTGTGGAGATGCAATTGAAAAGTGAATGATGCATGTATCTCCACGACCAACAGCAGAGGTTAATGGTTTTGATTGTTCCCCAATAAGAAGCACTCAAAGGATGGTCGAAAAACACATAGTGATGCCATGTTAAGCGAGTCCGTAATAGTAGAGCTACATAATCATGATCCCAGCAATGTTACGCTGTGGAAGCGACATGAGTAGCAACTTAAAGAGAAAACGAGGTCGAGCATCCTGAAGCACATCTGTACACACAATAGAATCACACCATAGTGGTCCCAGTAACGCCAGAGTAGCATTCGGTACACCACAGATGGGCGGAAATGGTGGAAGCAACCATAGGGGATAAAGAAATCAACAGTGCGTCCGTAAACCTTACCGACGCTTCGGTGCCACGCAACCAGCGTAGGTCACGCGCCGGATGGGTATACTGTGAGGTTACTCGCAACTACACATTTATCAAACCGGTGGATAACAAAGTAGGCGCTTTTCCTTTCGGCAACTGGCCGATAAGCGTTAAAACAACGGCAGTGTAAGTCACTTAGGTGCCACTACCCATCTCCTCTTCCCGCCAATCGCGCATGATCCATACACTGTCCCTTGATCGCCCAGCAATTTAGCGATATCCCAAATTAAAGTAAGCAGACCGGGATGTGGGTGACCGATTTTCAAAATACGCCTTTCTTACGCGTTTCCCGCGCTGTGTGACCTCTTTCCATCACCTTGGTGTATGCCATTAAAAGTACAAGTCTTGAGTTTCAGACAGCTCTTATGCTGCTGCAGCGACACGACATATAATGTCACAATTTTGAAAAGAATTATCGTAGCTAGACTTAGCCAGACAGCTACCATGCATACAGAAAAGCATGTAAATGTTCGCGGATCTCTGGTGGCAAATTTTAGCCTCGACGGAACTTTTCAAAAGCCCAATAAAGACCCCCTACTATTTCTCTGCAGACATTTCTCTTTTAATCACAGGATGCTCTAAGGACAATACAGCGGAACCGAAAAGAGGTTTAGCGGAGTTTTAACTGCGTACATTCATTTCAATGCCTGGGCGTGCTCTTGGCGATCCACTCCACCATCCGGGGCAGTGAGAACATCCGGTGAAAACAAATCTAGAGTGATGAGGCTTGCTTGTTTTGCATTAAGTGACCAGATTACGGTTTATGGTTTACTCACTATGGTAGTTTACAAAGAACGACTAGGAGAAAAATCGTTCGTATGTATACGTTGATGACGAGACGCTATAAAATTTAGAATATATATGAAGATAACAAATATACCTGAGAAAGATGCTCCGTACTAAGTTGCTTAATCGGGCCTGCATGGGTTCCCACTTTCGGTAAGGAACTAGTGACGGAGGATTTCATGCGTTTAGAGAAATCCAGCAAATGCTGTCGTAACCGTTCATAATCTGGAGTCTGATCGTAGTCAAGCTGCCTGACAGTGAGCACAAAGTTGGACAAATCTGTTCGAAAACAAATGCAGATAGATGGGTTCGGAAATAGAAACGACACTACCAGAGAAATCAGCAATCATGCTGCTGTCTCGCTGTTACCCTACGTCTGCATACTAAAGAAGTAGTACAACGCAAAGCTCAGATGTCATCTGTGCAGGTTACTAGTTAGTATCGAGGGAACGCCCAATCAGGGTACATTGTTTGTCGATGGGTTTAACCAGCTGGTTGGTTTAAATGTAGAGAGAATCGCTGTGTCAAGGCAGAAGTGATGTGGAAGCTCGTTCAATATACCTAACAGAAATATTATATATGATGTGGACGGATCGTTGCGAAAACAATAGCCCACGTGTTGTTCGCCATGCTGACGTTGCGACCGTCAGAGGAGATTCCGGTATTTGTATTCGGGAAACGCATTTATGACACATGACAAGCGTGTATGTGGGGGGATGACTTTGCTATTTCTACTACGCAGTACGCGGCAGCGTCTCAGAGCGTCGGAACTTCTGGGCTGGTCACCTGGTTCTCCATCAAATACCACAACAGCTCCTACGGCGCTGTGTCAAAGCCAATGTGACCGGCTATAGGGTCACTGAACACCCAATTCTGTAACCAGAGGTGAGTATATAACGGAGAGCGAATGTACAACCTTGCTGGCCACCGCCTTCTATGTGGACTGCTACCGAACACAAAGAAGGCGAAGGAGCCACCCGGATTTCAACGGTCTTGGTTAATCTTCCCGCTGCCTTGCGGATTAGGTCTTAAGACCAAAGGCTCAGGGTGGGGTCCTTTTTGTCAACCATCTTTCTCGGCCTTGGCAACCGGGAAGATCTCTGCCCACACAACACGCCTTCTAAACTCTCCAAATCCTTTGACTAACTAGCAATTCCCCCTTTTTGTTGTTGTTAACTTTATGTTGTGGCACTACTAACTGTACATTTGTCAAGTGTTGAATTTGAATAATAATAATAATAATAATAATAATAATAATAATAATGAGCAGGCACGATCGTACAGCGCTAGTGATGAGCATTGCTCTTAAGAAAAGGCCTCTAGCTGTGTTAAGTACCGATCCGTTAGGCCGTTGAATTGACAGCAGTGTGAACCTTGACAGAATACCAAAGTTACTCTCCCCGGAAGGTTCCCGGAGTATAAAATCCCATAATCTTATAGTACACTAAACAGTAGTGCATTTGCTTAATCACCGAACAACATTGGATAACCTCAAAACCTAAGCTATACGGGATAACAACAGAGATCAATTCAATTTCGTGTGTCTCATCTACAAAGAACGCATTCATAAAAGCTGTTATGTGCGCTGTATCTGTGTCCTCTCTAGTACAGAGCCGCAGAGCAAAATTCTACGTTAATTCCGTAGAAAACAACGAGACAGCACTCAGCAAATCCCAGCATGAAATTATCTCGTCACATCTGAGAGTTAACAGGGCGTTGCTCTTCTAGAACACGATAAGTTAATGTTAACTTTTGTGAATATCCCAATGGCACAAACCACATTGTTGGCATGAGATGTCTAATCAATCAAGGAGAAGTGGACGCACTTGTGGCCCAACCAGCGACATTGAACCTGATTGCAGGAGCAGGGTTAGAAAATGGACTGGCCACATTCGCATAATATCAGCCGAGGTCGGGTAGTATTTACCAAGATGTTACCAAGTTTGGAAGTATATCTCTTTAAACTATCCCTCCGTAGTGAATATCTCCTCCCTGTTGGAAAAATTCGCTACTAGCACCGCAGCGCAAAGGTGGCCCACAAACTGCAATGCCGAAGTATCGCCCTATTAATCATACTGCTGCCGCTTCTAAGATGCTGGAGCGAATAGTTAAGGATGACCTTGTTCAATTCTTTACAAGATTAGACATGGTAAATAGCACGCAACACGGATTTCTTACGAAGCGATGCAGCGTAACATGTCACGTAGTATTACTTGAACACGCAACGTCAGTTGCTGGCAGTGGCATGCGAAAGGCCTTCGCTCGTCTGTCACACAAGCCATTGCTCTCCGTTCTGCACTCTTACGGAATAAACAAACAATTGCTAAGCCGGTTAAAATTCTATGTGAAAAATCGGACACGAAGAGCTAAAATCGGTCAGTACCTCACCTCTTAAAAAGAACATAAATGTGGAGTCGTCAAGGTGTGCTCGAGCGACTACTCGTCTTAACTCATATAAATTATATGTATGATTCAATAATACACAGATGAGCATGCCTATTTACGATGACGCTTAACTCGTTTTTTACACTTCCACCAAACAGTATTGAACTGTCATCAGAAATATACATGAGAATTTATCCGTGCTGAAATCGTAAAGTAAAACTTGGTCCATGAAATTTTCCGCCGAGAAATCGCAAGCGCTTGGACAGGGATGCTGCATACCTGCTGGATCTATCACTCTCACTGGTACAAACATTGCAAGCTGTTTTTTAATATGACTTTAGGGTAGTACACTCCACGTCCCTCAACGTTTCCGAACATGTCTAGAACCAGATAGCTAAGACAATGCAACTAAAAGCTCACATCCCCAAATCCTTTGTTCTACCCGGAGCACGACTAGAACTGTTTAAACTCATTGTGAGACCTAAGCTAGAGCACTGCACAATCATCCTCCACGGGCAGCTG